CTAAAGATTTCAGAAAAGGTGGAAAGCAACACCTTGGCCCTGTTCGTCCCGCCACGTCAGTGGATCGGCTCGTCGCCCTGTTACGCGAGGCGTCGCGACGGTTTCGCGGCGTGCGCCGACGGCCAACGTCGCGGCGTCGCCTCGACTGGTAGCCAGGCAACGCGTATAATATGACCAGCGTAATAGTTTGAAACGAAACGGTCGCGGGAGCGGATCGGGTTCCTCGTTTAACCATTTCTCCCCCATTTCATTTTCCCTTTTTTTTTCTTTCTGTTCCTTTGTCTCAGCGACGTTTCCTTTCGTCGTCGTGGACGTCGTCGCGCCCGCAGGCTCGATGGAGAACGCAAGTGGCACGCGACAAGACCGAAGGAAACCGAGGAGGGAACGCTCGTACGTACAACGTCGTGCACGTTTTATGCCGCGTTTCCATCGTAGAAGATATGCTCGATAGTTGTCGACCGAATAAATTCGATAGCGTAGGTGATTTTCCTTTTCTTTTCTCTTGCAAAGAAAGGAAAGAAAGAGCTGTCCTTGAGAAATTTTTTTTTTTTTTTGCAAGGATAGTTGGGAGTCAAAAATAACGCGAGAGGAAAATAAATTGAGACGAAAAGTGCGAGTTAAGTAGTTTAGTATTTCAGACATCACGTATGAAAATATACATCTTCAAATCTCTCGTTATTTCGTTACTTCGTTTCCTCTCACACTGGTGGGGCAGAACGTTTGAGTTAAATATGCGTAGGACGAAAAAAATACGTGTGGGAGGAAATTTTAGAAATAAGGATAAATAAATAACAAAATCAATATATCAAGTATTAAATGACTGAAAATTCAAGTCCTTTTCTACACGATCATTATAATAATCTTCCTTAAATTGAATTAATTATACGTAGATAGAGATATTCGTGCAATTACAAAAATATGTGAAAAAACACACGGAATTCATGTAATAACACAACTGCGAATATTGGTGCAATTACAAGAAATTATTATGTCGGAAAAATCAATCATACAGAATGCGTATAATGTACAAAAGTACAAAAAAAAAAAAAAAAAAAAAAATATTCAAAGTAAAATATTCCTCGAAAATAAACTCGATTTCGCGCAAAAATATGAAAATAGACCATGATTCAAAAGTTCTTGGTAAAAGACACCTTTAACAAATTAATTTCATAAATTTTTCACGGTGAACCGAATTAGCCTTCGATGGCAACGCCATTGTGTCCTACGGTTTTAAGCCGAATAATCAATGGAAAAATAGGACAACGTAGATAAGAACAAGAAATGTTGAAAGTTGTGCTAAATCGAATTAATTCTTTGAATCAATCAATCCTTTGAAACTCGATCTTCCTTAATCGTTCGAATAATATAACTGTATACGAGGCCGATGGATGTGGGTTACCTATTGGGTGAGTTATCTATCGAGTAGGTTGGCGAGTTATGTAAAGTCATTTGAATGATGGAAGACTGTCGTTAAATTATTCTTGGCTAGGTGCAATTTTAATCCGCAGCTGTACAGCAAAGAAATAGATTCGAGGTTTCGTCTGGCTATGAACGTAAAAAAATGAGCACAATGCGGGGAATGCGACATGATGATGCATACCTGGCGTCAGGTATAATGAGTGGCCGATCATAGTAATTATTCGTGATTGTTTGATAGCGATTGATCGTCGCGAGGAATTGTTTACCTGTACGTGCACGTTACGACAATTTCTGTACGTGACTGCATTATTGATTTTGGTTCTAAATTTAAAAAAAATGGAAGAAATCGTAGAGAAAATGAGGTACTTTATAAATTTATATTTCGGAATATCTATAGGCAGCTAATTTCAGAGTATTATTGGTACGTTATTAATTAATTACGCGACAAATATAGGCGTATTTGTTTTTGATAAATTTGTAACTTGTAAAAGTATCTTATACGTGTGTATTTACGTATTTACGCATTACATATTGCGATATTAATTGTAAATCATTATTTGTAAATATTTTGCTTTATAAAATTAATTAATACTTGGGGGGAAAAAAAGAATTTTCCTCGCAGATTACAAAATATTTGATTTTGAAAGAGTCGAGTGATATACAACGAATAACAATCGAATAAAAATAAAATGGATTCTTCTTCTGAATTTACGTATAAAAAGAAAAAAAAGATATTAAAAGTAAACGAAATGGCTCTTAAACAACGTACACATATAGGTATATACGATTTGAAATATTTGAAGTTTAATTTATTAATATATTGTTAAAAGTTGAACGAATATTAGCACACAATATTAAATGAATATTGAATACAGATAGAATATAATAACCTTTTCAAAATTTTATACACGTCGCATACTCAGTAATTTTTCTCCCGTGACATTCAAAAAAGAAAAGGTCGCCAAATATCGTTTTATACTCCAGTTGTGCTGAAAGTTTCGTCAATTGAGTAAGCTCGGCCATAAATCGATCGTTATGCTGCTGAAGGACGAAACAAACCGCGCAAGAACTGTAAAGAAGCTTTGTTCGCTCGAATAATTATTTTGCTCGACGTGCATCAGACATTTTATGCGACTTAATACAAGCAATTTTCTACACGTTTATACACTTTCAAAATTTTGATGAAAAACATGATTTTCTAATATAACGAATGTAGGCCACAGATAAAATGAAAGAAAAAAAAAAAAA